GACTTGAAAGGTAACCGAGTCTTTGTATCAAAACAGTAGGTTTGTAATGGTAGACAACTCTGAATGATTGATAGGAACAAAAGGTATCTATTCCTTCTGGCTCAGCTCGTGTCTCGCTTTGATGCAAAGGCTTGGCTACCTTTCAAGATGGCGCTGGTACAGGTGAGCTGGCTATTAGTTTAACTTGTTGTTTGTTTGAGTAAATAGCGCTAGAACTTGTAAATGGAGTATTATCTTGTGTGAGTATTCACACCGGCCGGATCATCACCTCATCTTAGTTGGTAGTAGTAGACTGGTTTACAATGACAATATTTTTGGCTTGTATTTTTTTTTAGGCTAAAGACATATCATCTCATCTTTCCAAACTGATGACGACTTTTGACAATCTTGTAGTATTTTATTGGATTGACTCAATTAAAAACGCTAAAGTTCAAAAATGTCTGAATACATGCGCATTCTGCGTGTCTTTTGTTTTCTGGATAATTTTATGTTGGAAGAACCCTGTAGTTACAGTTTTCAGCGACATTTTGAAAGGTAGCCGGGCCTTTGCATCAAAGCGAGACAGGAGCTGAGTCTGCAGTGGTATATATTTTTTATTTTACGGTTTGTACTCTATTAAACTAAGTAATCGGAATTGTAACTTGTGTAATCTTTATAAGTAAATTAAACACATGCGTTTGTTGCGTAAGGACCTACCAGTCTTGGGTGGTCGCTTTACGGGAGAGGAGAAACAATGAAAAATTCCACAATTTCAATCCCAAAGGTGGTCGCGGTCACCTAAAAAAGTGGTCGCCTACAAGAGTGATCGCCTACGAGAGAGTTTTTTACAGAGTTTATATGTGAAACAAAATGGGAAATCTAAAAGCTGGTCGCTTACGGGAGATGGTCGTTTACGAGAGTGGTCGTTCAAAGAGTGTCAACTTTATGATAAATTAAAATTGTTGAGTTTACAACCGAATAACTGAACCCGGTGCTGGTTTGCGTGCTATTGTTCAAATATTAAGCCATATTGAGTCATATAAAGCTATACTAAGCTATATTAAGCTATTTTTTAATATTAATCAGCAGTAAAGAGGCGCAAATTGACATGAATTAACGCCTGTCATTAATCACACTGGAATAGACTTTTTATGACATTGTCGTGGCGTCTTCTCATGAGTAGTTAGTCTTACGGATGCTTGACTCTGCAAATTCATCCAAGACGAAGAAAGAAAGTTTCTCATTAAAGCGCATATATAGGTTTAGCAATTTGGCTTTAAATGAAAGTTTGGACATTAAAAATCACATAATCAAAGAAAATTTTACGATACTATATAAATTTCGTATATTTTTAAGCTTTCAAACTGCGGAATGAGCTGATAAAAGTTGAGCGTTATGGAGGCCTGGTACCAGTAAGTCCAGTGACGTCATTCACGGAACAAGCTTACGGTAAACAACACTAAACTTCACAGAACTGATTGCAGCAGTGAATGCAGTGATTCTCGTTACGAGTAATTATGAAGTTGAAACTGAAACCAATCAATGCGCAAATGACCACTTTATCGACGACGACTTTCATTTTCGGACGGGCAAACTACGCAATAGTAGCTACGCAATCATATCCTGCATTATTAGGCAAAGTGTATGAGTATGGACGGGCAAACTGTATTGGTATAAAAGGCTTCATTCAGGCTTTTATGGAAAGAAGAGCTTTCGCGTGTTTTCCAGTCTTATTACTCACAAAATTAATGTTTTTGCAAAGTTGGCTAATGTGTATGTCTCGTCTCTTTCGGCGTCGAATTGCCTCTTGTCGCTGGGCGCGAATTACTGAATTTTGTGCTAGGAAATAGCGTTTTCACGACTGTTTATGTTACCACAACTTTCGACTACTGCGATCGGGCATTTTGGAAAAGGAATCGTATTCTTGAAGTACGGGATTAAATAGAATTTCGATAGTTTTTTGAGTGGAAACTGACTGACGAGTTCCGTGAATGACGTCATGAAATGTTAGTTACCAGACTTCTGCATCGCTCCACATTTTTGGCACAGGAGATCCAAAACAGACATTCCAACCACTTTTAGGCCTTTAAAAAGGACGCTAGTTTAACCTATCAAATTACATATTTCATGACACTAGTCTAAACTTTAAACCAACATTGCTGAACCCATATATGCACTGGCTTTAAGAATAAATTGAAATCAGAATCTGTGGTTATTTCAAAGCTGACTTTCAGTAAGATCTGGACTGGGAGTGGCATCACACGTGTTTGTCTGAGGATCTCCTTCAACTGATCGGCGGTGAGCAGTAGAATCTGCATCCATGCAAGGTGGAAATAGTGGTTCCTCTGTGGTTAAAGTGTCATTCCTCTCTTGGGGATGAGTTGCACTTGTTTGTCTGTTAAATTCATCTTCATTTTGGCATGTTTGAGTTGCTATGAACAATATTGAATATTTCACAAATTTCGTAACGTCCTTTGTTGATATTGTGTATAGATAAAACCCATGAAACAAAATTGAACCAATAATAAACGACCCAAATGAAAACAATCGGGAATTGCAGATTAGTCCTATTGGACATTCCGAAATTCAAAAGGAGACTGGGAATGAGTACGAAGATGATCCACGGCTTACCGAAATTAAACGAAAGGCGATACTATAATTAGTGTTATTTTCAAGTTTGAGCTTATTTGGTTGAATACTCACCAAGTAGGTATTTTTTGCAAAAATAAGAGAGATTGTATGGCTTTTGGGGTCGCTGCCCTGAAGCTCCATGACATTCTTGTTCAGTATTTTTTCGAGTTTTATATGTTCATCGCTTTGTAAATAATTATTAATCCGAATATACTCAAACTCAGCCTGAATAATACTGAATAATCCCGAATACTGCTTCAAACGGTAACGAGTTTGACTTGGCACCAGTACCGTCCCTTTTTGTGAATTTCGGCATGGCCAATATCTATTTCAACGACTGTGTGCCTACACCGTCTATAATGTATGACTGAATAAGTTTCTTTTGCAAATAGAAAAGGTTGGAGACTAAAAAGAATCTAGGTCAAAACAAAGAAAAAACTAAGCTCAATCCACGCATCCAAAAAGGTCAAAAAGTGGTTTCTCAGTGGTTTCACATTATGAAACCACTGAGAAAACCCACAAAAAGGCATCGATAATGACAGAACAACTCACCATTACGAGTACAAGTAAACACTGACTTGAAGAAGAACGTTATTAAGAACAGTCCGACCAGYGTCRAACATCCAGGAGTCATGCTTATAACATGRCGAATAAACYGATCACATGGTAGGCACTCCAAACTAAAAWAMCAAGAACAGACAGCATTTGTAAGATRATAGTAAATAAAGCCAAAACCTGTAAAAAACCTTATACACAAAAGTAAGCTCACTCAGGTATCCCAAAACGAATTTACGAAGAGTTTCCCCCATTTGAGTAAACAATAAAGTGCTAAAGTCATGACGTCACAAAACAAAATTTTCTGATTTTTTTTTTTTTTTTTTGGCTTCTATATTCTGAAAGTGCATCATTTTTAATGCATTCTTGCCAAATTTGAGTGTCCTCAAATTTGAGATATTTCAACGAATCCGAAAAAAAGCATTTTTGTGACGTCACACTTCGGTACTCTATAGCCCAGTTGTGTTGGCTCTTTGTTAGTAAGGAGACTATCTATCTCTACTTTGTTGGCTATAATTAATAGCTCACATTTGATGTGACTAATTCGGTTGACTAAACACGCACAAAACAATTGAAGACAAGGGATTATTCTCTTGTTTCCCCGGAGCCTCGTTTTCAATTTGCGTGCATGACCATTCCATCAGTTGAAAATGGGCTATTAACCAACGTGTATACTTTATATCTGGCTATAAATTACCTGTTTCCACTGGGTCGTGGATTTAGTTGTTGAATGATCGCTATGATAATACCACTGGACACTTTGTCTGTAAAACCGATTGTACCATACACAAACGCTCCTGATGTCTGGTAGGAAAACAAATAAGAACTATTAGATAGTAACTATTTAGATTTTATGGACATAGTGTGAGTACTCTATACTGAACGCCATATTTATTGTCCAGGACATTTTATATCTGGACAGCTTAATGGTATCTGGAAATGTGTTTATAATAAAGGAAGTGTATAGAAATCAACTATTTTCTTACAGTGTCGTTATGTTATGTTTCACATTACCTTGTGTTCGCCAATAAGTTCTGCTATCATTGACAGTGACGTAGCAAGCATAATCGAGCTACCGCAGCCTATAAGTACTGCCGTCGCATAAACAGCATTTCGGCCTTCGATTGATTGAAAATAAAACCAGAAGCACGAAGCGAGCGCGATAAAACCTCCAATAGAATATGTTATCTGAAATGAAAAGTGTTTAGGCTCATTCATTACATTTGTATGGTCATTTTGTCTAGTGATGAAACGCGTACATTCAAGGGCTAATTAATATCCTAGCGTTTAACTTACTTTGTTACCAAGGCGTTTGTTCATGGGCTTTACAGCAGAACTAGACAATACTCCACTTACTAAAATGATCAATGGGAAATATGCTATGGATTCCTGTGAAAAAATACCAGATCATGTCTTAAAAAGTTTCAAAAAGGTAAGTTGGCTTAGATTTTTAGTTGCTCTTCTATGATTGCAATATAAACCCATATACACAAGGAGTAAAATGCATGGTATGGTCGGTACGTGTTTTCAAGCAGTGTAGAATAGAATAGAGTAAGATCCTCACCTATACAACACCAATATACGACAATAAAATTGTTTGCATGCGACATGCGTTTGATTGCGACACCTAACTTTTTCGTACTCATTGGCATAATGTCTACCTTTTCAAATTTGAGAGTCTCTGTTAGGTATAGCGGAAGATAGACTTGCGAGATATTAACAACAAGGCGGCTACACGTGTACAGCATATTGATCTATAAGGATTGAGAGATAATAAACAATTAAATTGTTGCATGCCGAGTATATTTGTTTTTTATATTGAGGATTGGTCCAGGTCTTGTGAATAATTAGGTTGGATCTATATTTTGGTTGGTTGGTTGGTTGGTTGGTTGGTTGGTTGGTTGGTTGGTTGGTTGGTTGGTTGGTTGGTTGGTTGGTTGCTTACTGAATAAAACGCTGGATATTTCAGCCAGTCTTTCCATGTTTTATCGTGGTTTTCGGTACTTTGATCACTTATCTCTATTGCTTCCCTGCATGACGTTGATTGACTTGTTATTAGTAACGACTCTTCTTGTCTTTCACGGGGTGATGTTCCAACATTAGAATTCGGTAGCGAAGATACTTCTATCATAGCTGCTTCAGGCGAGAAAAAATGGCATTAAATTTCAGTCATATCAGAATCATTTCCAAATAGAGCGTTACAATGTTATACTCTTGATTATGACATTTTATAAAATTTTTGATATATAACGCGCGCTCTGATTGGCTGACGACCGTGTTTATATCAGAGGACAGAGACACGGCTTACCGGCAAAATGTTCTTTTCGCTCGAAAATTTTTATAAAAGAAATATAAAACGGCCGCTTGTGTCTCTGTCCTCATTTATGCATCCGATGCCATCCAGGCAATCCAAGGGCTATAAAGTTGGGCCCATGCGAGAGGAGAAAGGGACGTTGCCCCTCAACTTTTTTCATACTGCTTCTAGACTAAAAGGAATCCATTAAAACTAAACAACATGCCTCTATTCTGGTCTTCATCATTTGGTAAACAAGGCCTGTTGTTGTTTTCCCTGGCTGGTGGTGTTGGTGGTGGTTCCACTGTCAGTACGTGGAATATGAGATTGAAAAGATTTCCAACAGAGACTATGATGATACCAAGATACTGGAGATATGAAAAAGCGTTACTAAGGGACCGGTCATAATTCACTATGGGAGAAATCAA